AGAGTCCGCTCGCCACTGACGGCCATCGTCCACACTGTCCCCAGAGTTCCCAGGCCAGGACTCACTCCCCTTGGTCGCCCTCCTCCAGCTATGACAAAGGAGTCTGGGGCCCCACGGGCTGCCCGTCTGTCCTCAACCTACTGGGGACCTGCTAGACACCCACCCCACAGGAAGGGACCCAGCACCTGCTCGAGGTGATTCAGGGAGTGAGGAGGCAGGGCAGGCCAGCAGCTCACAGGGAAGAAAGGAAACCGTCCCAGCTGAGTTGCACGCCCCCGCTGAGTTGTGCGCTCCCCTGTGGGGGGGCCTGAGGGACCAGCGGCTTTGAGGGAGGGGTGGGAAGGCAAAGCTCAAATTAATAGAAACCCCAAGGAAAAAGCTCCAAGGGCGTTTGAGCTGAGCGAGTCTTTTCTTAATGCCAGTGATAACGCCATCACGCACGCCCATTACAGAAACAAAACACAGGCGCGGAAGAACAGGAGCAAAGTGCGTGCAGCCCCTCTGGTCCCGGACCGCGTGAACGCCGCGTGCGGGAGTGCATCGAACAGCGTGGGGCCGGGGCGGGCACTCTGATTTACAGACAGCTTCCTCCATCACTGCATGGGCCACGAAAACTGGAATTAAAAGGTGAGTTTATCTGGGTGCAGAAAACCCAGAGCTCCTTGCATCGTTTTTGCACACAACGTCTTTCTACGGATGTTTGCAGATGTCTCAAACGCACGGATTTCAAAAAATTCTGCACCCAAATAATCTTATGTTTTAATTCCATTTCCTGTACACCACAAAGTCTGTTTTCTCTTTCATTCTTTCAGTGAAGGGAAAAAGACCCCACAATTCCAGTTCCTTTCCTTTTTTTTTTTTTTTTAAGATTTAAAATTTTTTTTTTGTAAAGACAGAGAGAACTTCCCCCCAAATGGCCACAAGAGCCAGGGCAGGGCCAGGCTGCAGCCACAAGCCTAGAATTCCATCCGGGTCTCCCACGTGGGTGGCAGGGGCTGGAGCCCCAGGGCTGTCTCCCACTGCTTCCCAGGCACCTCAGCAGGAGGCTGGATCAGAAGTGGAGCAGCTGAGACTCGAACCAGCGCCCGTATGAGATGCAGACATCGCAGGCAGCTTTGCACGCTGGCCCCCAGTCCCCTTCACAGCATCAAGAGCAGAACCCAGCCCCTTCCCCGGCCCCCGAGACACGGCCACCAACAGCTGGGGCCCTCCTTCATCTCCACAGTTAGGAATACAAACAAGGCTGTGCTGTTGCCAGTGCCGGCTCGCCACCGTGCCACAGGCGCTGTTTGCCCCCATCAGCCTCAGGAACCCCTTCCAGACGGGGCCTAGAAAGCATGCTTGCTCACTCCCCACCCCTTGATGTCCCCCCACACCATGTCTCTCTGGTCCTTCCCCTCCCCGGCCCGCCCCGGCGCCCAGCCCTGCCCCACTCCCTCCTGGACAGGGCATACGGAGACAGGCTGAGGCCAGCCGTGCCCCACTCCCTCCTGGACAGGGCATACGGAGACAGGCTGAGGCCAGCCGTGCCACACACAGACATCCCTGGGCTGCCCGTGGAAGGTCCATTTCCATCCTTATCAGCAGTTTCCATGGAAGGTTCGCTGGGCACCTCCCAGTCCGCGCACAGGGGCCCTGGTCCCAGGGCTGGCCGGGCCGGCTGCACTGCTGGGAGGCACCCTGCTCTGGTGTGTGGGAGCGGCGGCTGGGGCTGCAGCCGGAAGCTGTCACCCCCGATGAGGGATGAGACGCTTTGCCTGAAAATCCGTTCAAAGCTTGCGTCCTGCTCCTCCCGTGGCTGGCTTGCTTTATGGCTTTATTATGTACCGATTAGCCAATGGACACCCTGCCTCGAGTCACCAGCACCCACCCGCACCGCCCCTGTCCGGGTCTCCAGCTAGGTCTGTGGACCCTGACAGCCCCGCCCCCACCCCTCAGCTCCTGGCACGCACTCACAGGTGGCCATTTGTGCCGTATTCTATGTAAACCGAGCCCCCTGGAGTCATGCAATGTGACCTCGGGCTAGCACCCCGGTCTCTGGGCCCCCATGCCCTTGTGTAGCAAATGCAATCGAGGGGCGGGCTTTCCAGGGCTGGACAGTGCCTGCAGGTGCACGGAGACTGGGGTCAGGTAGAAAGCTGGGAAGTGGAGAATGGACGGGCAGCGGGTGGGTGGAGCCTCCACTGCGCCTTGCATCACCCAGCCCCAATCCCGGGGAGACGGCCTGCCTCTGACAGCGGTGGTGTGTCCCCCTCCAGCCCAGGGCAAGCCCGGCCAGGCCCCCCCATCCCCCAGAGCGGACTCCTGCGTGAGAGGCAGGTTCGTGGGCGTCCCCAGGAACTGCCCACCCGCCCGTGCCCTTCCTCTGCAGCCTGCAAGTGGGAGCCCGGCCCTGCAGTCCTGCGGCTGCTGCGGGCACTCGGTGAGGAGAGCTGGGTCCTGGGGTGGGGGTGGGGGGCGTGTTCTTGTCCCGGCCCGCCGCAGAAGTGGCTGAAATCCTGATCTGGCCCCGGTTTTGTTTAGCAAACAAGGAACATGCAAAGCAGCTGGCATGCTGGCGTCCCTCTGTGTGTACTGGGGGGAGTAAGAGGCACTGAGCGCTCAACCCCCACCCCGTGCCCACCCGCACACTTTCCCTGACCTGGGAGGTGCAGGGCAAGATGCTGCCCCACCCCCACCCTGGGGGGGGCAGTCAGGAGCCCGTCTCAGGCCCCGCCTTGGGCTTCCCGGTTCCCACGGGCAGGGCAGGGGTGAGCCGGGGCTCTGTGGGCTCCAGGGAGGCCAGCAGGGAACTGTTGAGGAACCGACCACTCTGCTATGCAAATACCGGGCCAGCCCGCACACCTGACAGGTTTGTTTAGGGGAATTCTGGCGAAAGGCAACAGGAAGAGCCACTGGAAAGAAGCTCACGGAGCTGCCTGGGCCGGGCCAAGCCTCAGGGCCAGACGAAGGAGCCCGTCCTTCCCCACGGAGGGCTCCAGCCTTGTCCTCAAAAGCCAGTGGGCCCACGCCAGAGGGGACAACTGGAGAGGTCGCTTTCTGGACTCAGTGGGCAGAGCTGAGGCCCCCGGGGGGCAGGCTGGACTCAGAATCAGAGCCTGATCCCAGCTGTGACCTGCCCGCCTGCTGCGTGGCCGGGAAGGTTGGCCGATCTCTCCCTCTTTGGCTCCCAAATCAAGTCAGGAAAACATTGACCAAACAGGCAGGTAACAGGGTGTGGGCTCTGAGAAGTCGTACTATAAACGGCTCCAGTTCACTTATTTTAAAAAGATTTATTAATTTATTTGAAAGGCAGAGCTGCAGAGAGGCAGAGGCAGAGGCAGAGGCAGGCAGAGGCAGAGAGAGAGAGAGAGAGAGAGAGAGAGAGAGAGATCTTCCATCCGCTGGTTCACTCCCCAGATGGTCACGACATTCAGGGCTGGGCCAGGCCAAACCAGGAGCCAGGTTCTCAACGCAGGTCTCCCACCTGGGTAGCAGAGGCCTAAGTACTGAGCCACCCCTGCTGCCCGCAGGTGCAGGCCCCCAGGAAGCTGGGACGGGCGTGGAGCTGGGATCTGACTGGGGCCGCGATGCTCCAGGCTGCACCAGACACCGACGCCCCCCCCCTCACTTTAACTCGTGACGGCTCCTCTGGCCACCACAGGAATCACAGCAGGACCTGCCCAGGGACTGCCCGGCCGGGTCCCAGGTAGTGGGCCTGAGCCCTTGTAAGAGGGAGAGGAAAGCGACAGGGGCAGAGGGGAGCCGTGCGCTCTGCAGACACAGGGGGGCGGCGAGCTGAGGCAGGCAGGACACCCACCCTCCTGCGGCCTGGAGGGGCCGCCCATGCAGCCCCCACACCCCCTAAAGCACGTTAACTCCTAGAAACCCGGGAGCGCACCAAGCAGCTCCTGATCCCTGTGGGTGTGCATGCGAGTGTGTGTGGGGTGTGACAGCACGTGTGTGTGAATCTGAGCGTGTGCACGAGTGTGAGTTATGAGCTCTGTGTGTGTCAGCATGTGCAAGCCAGCATGTGTGTGCACGCGAGTGTGTGTGCAAGCCAGCATGTGTGTGCACGCGAGTGTGTGTGCGAACCAGCATGTGTGTGCATGTGTGCGAGCCAGCATGTGTGTGCACGCGAGTGCGTGTGCGAGCCAGCATGTGTGCACACGAGTGTGTGCAAGCCAGCATGTGTGTGCACACGAGTGTGTGAGCCAGCATGTGTGTGCAGGTGTGTGAACCAGCATGTGTGTGCACGCGAGTGTATGTGCGAGCCAGCATGTGTGTGCAGGTGTGTGAACCAGCATGTGTGTGCATGCGAGTGTGTGTGCAAGCCAGCATGTGTGTGCACGTGAGTGTGTGTTCAAGCCACCATGTGTGTGCAAGCCAGCGTGTGTGCACGCGAGTGTGTGTGTGAGCCAGCATGTGTATGCAAGCCAGAGTGTGTGCACGCGAGTGTGTGTGAGCCAGCATGTGTGTGCACGCGAGTGTGTGTGTGAGCCAGCATGTGTGCACGTGAGTGTGTGTGCGAGCCAGCATGTGTGTGCACGCGAGTGTGTGTTCAAGCCAGTATGTGTGTGCATGTGTGCGAGCCAGCATGTGTGTGCACGCGAGTGTACATGGGCAGTGAGTGTGTGAATCTGAGCATGTGTGCAACTGTGAGTGTGTGCGTGTGTTGTGTGAGTGTGCGTGTGTCAGGGGAGGCCTGGCCCTGTTCACACCTTGATTTTTAGCCCCAGGAGCCTACCTTAGGGTCCCTGGCCCCACAACCACGAGAGTCCCCCGCGGAGGCTGCCCTGCTGTGGGCCAGGAAGTGGACAGAGCCGCAGCCGCCCCGGCCTGGGCCTTCGCTGTGGCCTTGTGCTCGGGTCACCACGTGGTGTCAGGGCTTCCCAGTGTCTGGGGACACAGACCCCCCATCTGCCTGCGGACGCCTCTAAAGCGCTCTTGGATGCTCTCCTCCAGCCTTCCCGCCGAGCCGTGCCAGGGCCCGCCCGCATGTACAAAAGGCCGCTCACAAGTCACATGTGTGCGTCTTTATTGTCATTTACAGCAGGTGAGAGGAGCAGGCTTCGGGCAGCAGTGCCTGCTGGCTTCTCCCTGGCCGCGGAACCGGGTTCTGATGGGCAGTGCAGTGCCACTCGGAGCTGGGCAGCAGGACACAGCCCTCCCACTGGGGCGGGAGGCAGCACTGCGCCTTCTGTGGCAGCCAGGAAGGTGGCCACGGTGGCCAGACCCCAGCGCCGTGGGCGGCAGCAGGAGGGGTTCCCTGCTCTGTTCTTGGCTTCCTTGCATGGAGGTGCCTGGCGCGTTCTAGCTTTCTCTGCCCTGCTGGGGGAGGAGCCTGCGCACGCCCAAGAGCGACTCCAGGTCAGAGAGCCCAGGCCCAGGGCGCGCGCACTTTGCAGCAGGAGAGACGCTGGTCCAGAGACAGGGAGTGGCTCGTCTGAGGTCACACAGCCATTCCGTGAGCGCTAAGGCCAAGTCCAGAGGCTCCTGTCCGGTGCCCCTCTGGCAGGCGGGCGATGGGGGTGCCGGCCCTCACTTGAGGTTGTGCTGGCTCTCGCGGTGCCGCCGCAAGTCCACCTTGCGCTGGAAGCCCTTGGCGCACAGCTCGCAGCTGAACGGCTTGAAGCCCGTGTGCTTGCGGCTGTGGGTGATGAGGTTGGAGCTCTGGCTGAAGGCCTTGCCACACACCTGGCACTTGTGCGGCTTCTCACCTGCGTGGCAGAGGGGCGGCACAGCAGGGCCAGGGTTATGGGGGGGCGGCGCACCAGGCCTGCTGCCGGCAGCCCCCAGCGTGTTCTCCAAAACTTTACAGTGCTTTGTCTCGTGACCAACCCACAGCGCCCTTACGGAAGAGAAACTGGCCAGGAAGCCCCTCGGGCCCTGGCCCCTCACTGGACAGGAGTCTGGGTTCCTCTTGTCAATCACTGGACCCCTACACGTGTCAGGGGCCAGCCCAGCACGTGCTGGGGTCATAGTGAGGGGTGAAGGAAACCAGGGAGCGAATGAGCGATGCACCTGCTGCTCCCATTCCGCCCAGAGACCCCACCTGGGCTCTTCCCACCTAAGCCACATGGGTACTGGGCCCCCCACCCGTGTGCCCCGGGGCCCCAGCGAAAGGTGGGAGCCCAGACGCCGGGTGGAGGCAGGGGGAGCCCCGGCAGCCTCCGGCCCCCCGCTCTGCGGGTGTGTGGGGGGCCCAGGCCAGGGGCGGGGCTGCGGCTGGCTCACCTGTGTGTATGTAGGTGTGCTTCTTCATGTCTGACTTCTGGTGGAAGCGCTTGCCACAGAACTGGCAGGGGTAGGGCCGCGTGTCCGAGTGGATGAGCAGGTGCGTGGACAGCGTGGACGAGCGCTTGAAGGCTTTGCCGCACATCCGGCACTCGAAGGTGCGCTCCTGCCGGAGGAAACGAGGCCCCGGGGGCTCAGGCGCAGGCGGGGCCTCGAGGCCCGGGAGCCCCACGCTGGGCGCGGGGCTGGGCCCGGCCGGGATGCCCTAAGGAAGAGGACACTCCGTTGGGGTGGCCTCAAGGGCCAGGGCCCGCCCCCGCCCGCTCCCTGCCTCCCTGCTTGGGCCTGGCTGGCGCCACTTGGGATTATCCTTGTAAACTTCCCGGGACTGCATCCGAGGTCAGCCTCCGCGTTTGTTGACTGACTGACAGACCTGAGAGTTTTTTATTGGGGTTCACATTCACAACCCTCAACCTGGAGTGAGTTCTGTGAGGCAGGGACAGTGACGGGCTGTGGGCAATGCTTTAGTTAAGGGCTGGGTTCACCGGAGCCCGGTTCTGGCTTTGGCCTCGCAGCCAGCACCTGCTCTCCGGAAGTCACCTCCCCAAGACTCAGTCCCCACATCTGCACATTGGGACAGTGCCGACCTCGGAGGAGCGGGAGGTGGAGCGCTGAGCCCCCGCCGGCACGTGGCAGGTGTCACACGCGGAAGCTGCACGGTCATCCCCACCCCCCCACCCCCGCCCCGGCCTGAGCTGCTCTAATCACTCAGCTGTCCGTGACCCTGCCACTCTCCGACTAATGGGGCGGGGCTAACGGGGTAGGCGGGACATTTCAGCGCAGCCCCAAGACTAGGCATCAAGGAACTCCAGGCTGGCACCCGGGCCAGAGCCTCTGCTAACAGCCGTGGAGCAGAGAACCCCGCGTGCTGAGGGTGGAGCTGGAGACCCAGAGCCCCCCGCACCCCCTCCACCGCCACCCGCGTCACCCTCAGGGCAGGGGAGGGACCCAGCACCCACCTGGGAGTGGACGTGTGTGTGCTGCTCCAGGCTCACGGCGTGGCCGAAGGTTTTGCCGCAGATGTCACAGGCGAAGGGCCGGGTCCCGCTGTGCGAGCGGCGGACGTGCACTTCGAGCCCGTGTGGCGTGGAGAAGACCTGGGGGCGGGGAGCGGGGAGGCAGCTCCACACCAGCTCCAGCCAGGGCGGGAAACGCGGGAAGGGGCCCTGCGCCGCCCCGTGCCGTGGCTCGCGCTGGCGTGTCACTTTCCCTCTCTGTCTATGGCACAAGGGCTGGGCGGGACACTGGAAAGCCCTCCTTGCCCCGTCTGAAGGCAGAGCAGCCCGCGGGCAGGAGCTGGGAGTCGGCCGGGGCTGCCCCAAGTGCTGGTCCTCACGTCTACCTGCTGTGCCACCTCGGGCAAGTGAACCAAGCTCTCCAACTCCCGCCCTTGACCTCCCTCCTGGAGCCCACGCGTGTCGGGTGCTCCGTGGATGAGAATGAGGACAAACCCCTCCCGGGGTGCCCCCCAGACTCAGAATGTGCTCCGCTGGAAGCTGGGAGGGGGTGGGGGGCAGGGCCTGGGCCACCCACCTTGTTGCACTTGACACAGTGATAGGTGTCCATGCTTGGGGAGTAGTGCAGGCTGAAGTCCAGGGCTGGCTCGGTGGTGCTGGGCACCAGGGGGCTGCCGTACAGGCTGACGGAGCGCTCCAGGAAGGCGGCCTGCACGGTGGAGGGGGCCTGCCGGTAGCCATGGCCGTAGGTCGAGGCCAGCGTGTCCCAAGAGAGGCTGGGCTTGTAGAACGGTGGCGAGTCGGAGAGTGGAGAGCCCCCATCCTGGGCTCGGGACATCACCAGGGGGCCCTCTGCGGAGCAAGGGACACGGGGCCTCGATAACATGGGCACCCACTCGCGAGGACCCCCGGCCCCCTCGCGACCGCCTCCGAGTGACCCCCATGACTTTACCGCTGGGGGTCTCACTGTGCGTCCCCCACTCCCCCGGCCGGAAACCACCACCTCATCCTGGGTGCCCACTGCCTGACCCTGCCCGGCTGCTCCCCCAGCCCAGAAGCCTCACCCGGGGAAGGGGCTCCCCACCCGGGAAGGGGCTCCCCATCCACCTGGAAGCCGGAGGAGGCGACCTTGTCCTGACTGTGCACCCCCTAGGGGCCCTGCTCTGGGGGTCCATCCGCCCCCCCTCTTTGGCACCTGGTCTTGGGCTGGGTACCTGGGGCCGAGGCCACCCTGGACAAGCCCTGGTCCGGCTGTGGCTCCGCCTCCCGCTTGTGGCTGGCCCAGTCCGGGCCCTGGTTTGGGAAGAAGGAGCTGAGGGCAGGGCTGCTACTCGGGATTTGGTCCTTGGCCACTGTGGGAAGACAAGGTGGTCAGACTCAGCGGCTCCTGGAGCCTGCAGAGAGCACAGGGAGAATGGAGACCGCGGGAGAGGCCTGCGGCGGCTGCTGACCGCTCAGAGCCCGCCTTGTCTTGTCTGAGCTCCCCTACCCCAGGGCTCGGTGCACCCCCAAGGCAGCAGCAGGGTCCTGGCTCCCATCCCGAAGCTCTCATCTCCCCCTCCGGGGCGGGGGGGGGGGCAGAAGAGAAAAGTGCATCACTCATTCACTCATCCACTCATTCAGCATTTACTTGCCGGCCTCTCAGGAGGAGGCCACCCTGGGAGGGACCCCACCGCATGGCGCAGGGAGACCCCGAGCCCGAGGGTGTGGCGGGAGGGCAGCCAGGGTCCGGCTCACCTGGGCTGGGAGCAGGAGGCCAGACGGGGTCGTCCTGGGAGCGGGGCTCGTGGTAGGAGTGAGCCTTCTTGCTCTTCACCAAGAAGGAGCGTGGCATTGTCACCGGCACTGCGCACCTGCGGGGCGGGAGGGGCGGGGCCTGGGCTGGGTGCTGAGGACGGACAAGGGGACGTCGCTCCTCGGTAAACAGCCCCCTTGAGGTCTGACACCCGCTGCTCTGGGTTCAACAGTGTCCCCCAAAAGCTCATGCCCAAGCAGCCCATGACCCCGTGGGAAACCATCTTTCTATAGACATGGTCAATTAAGATGAGGTCAAAGTGGGGTAGGGTGTGCCTGAGCTTCCATGTACCCAGCGTCCTTGTAAGAAGAGGGACATCTGGGGGCTGGCGCTGTGGCATAGCGGGTAAGCTGCCACCTGCAGTGCTGGCATCCCATTTGGGCGCCGGTTTGAGTCCCGGCTGCTCCTCTTCCGATCCAGCTCTCTGCTATCGCCTGGGAAAGCAGTAGAAGATGGTCCAGGTCCGTGGGCCCCTGCACCCACATGGGAAGAACCAGCGGAAGCTCCTGGCTCCTGGCTTTGGATCAGCTCAGTTCTGGCTGTTGCAGCCATTTGGGGAGTGAACCAGTGGATCCAAGACCTCTCTGTCTCTCTGCCTCTCCTCTGTCCGTGTAATTCTGACTTTCAAATAAATAAATAAAACTTTAAAAAAAGAAGAAGAAGAGGGACATCTGGGCACACAGATGCAGTGTCCGGGAGGCGGCCAGGGGCCGGGGTGCTGTGATGCTTCTCCCCCGGGGGTGCTGGGGTTGCCGTCACTCACTGACGTGGGGAGGGGCCGGCCACAGTGTGACCGAGAAAAATGCTTCCTGCCGTGGCGAAGCCACTGCGGCATGAGATTCCTGACAGCAGCGAGAGGCCCAGGCCCCCTCACCTGGAACTCAGCCCTCAACCCCAGAGACCCCAGGAGCAGAGAGGGAAGGGAAGGGACACACTGCGGACCCCATGTCTGTTTTTCTTTTTTCAGAGATTTATTTCTTTATTTGAAAGTAAGAGTTAGAGAGAGAGAGAGAGAGAGAGACATACACACAGAGACAGAGAGACAAAGACAGAGACAGAGAGACAGAGACTGAGAGACAGAGACAGAGTTAGAGAGAGAGATAAACAGAGACAGAGACAGAAAATGAGAGAGACAGAGAGAGCTAGAGAGAGAGAAACAGAGACAGAGACAGAGAGAGAGATAAACAGAGACAGAGAGAGAGACAGAGAGAGACACAGATAGAGTTAGAGACAGAGCGAGAGAGTTAGAGAGAGAGAGCGAGAGAGAGAGAGCGCGCGCGCGAGAGCGAGCACTCTTCCCTTTGCTGGTTCTCTCCCCAAGTGGCTGCCGCAGCTGGGACTGAACTGAGCGGAAGCCAGGAGCCAGGAGCTCCGTCGGGGTCTCCTTTCCAGGCACATTCAGAAGGAGCTGGATCGGAAGTGGAGCCCTGGGGTCCCCACCTGGCGCGAAGGGGGATGCCGGCATCGCGAGCAGCAGCTTAACCCTCTGTGCCACAACGCTGGCCCCGCATTTGAGTCCTGGGGCCCAGCCTCAGAGGCTGCAGTGAGGGGGAGTCTGAGCCCAGGTTGAGGAAACCGGGGATCACTGGTTACAGCCTCAGCTCCCCGCTGCGCAGCTTGGGGCAGACACTTAACCCCTCTGCGCCCGCCCCTTTCGTGAGAGCTGGGAGGTCCAGGCTCTTGGTGCTGACGAGTGCAACGGGTGCGCATGGCAGAGGGGCTGCAGCAAGGCGTGGGGAGGCACCTGCCCGCAGAGTCCCCGGGGCAGAGAGCACCTCCTGGTCGCCGGGAGGGTCTGCATGCCTGCAGCCCACCTGTGAGGCTGTCCTGGGGGCACAGGGTGTCCAGGCTGAAGCCCAGAGGCCTTCTCGGGGGAGTCCCACCCCCACCCGGGGCTGCAGGAGTGATAGGGGCCACAGGAAGGCGGGAAGGGATCCACGGGCAACTCCTGCACAACAGCGAGGGCCCCTGCGATAAGGCCCTGGCCCAGGAGCAGGGCGGGAGGCGGGAGATTAGAAACAGCAGCTGGGGCTCTGACTTTGCAGCTGACCCAGGGCCAGGCAGGAGCGGGACCCCTCTCTGCCCAGGCTGGTGGTCCCCTGCCACCACTGTTGGGGTTGTGGAAGCCCTGTCTGGGGGGCACACCCAGCCCCAGACGCTCCTTGTACATGAACCTCAGCATGCAGATCCGCTAAATGGGCGTCAAAATGCAACCTTGTGGGGTGGCCAGGAGCGAGAATGGCTCTTTCTGTAGAACAGACCCGGGTCTAAGGTGCTGGGTCTACTGCCCCGGCAGAACCGGAGCAGGTGCTTCAGGCCCCCCCGCCGCGCACCAGACCCAGGAGCCAGAGCAGTGTCCAGGGGGCCGCCCTTCGGGGCTCTGGGCCCTTCCACTCAGCTCCACTGGCAGCCACAGCCTTATCGCCCAGGGCCATGTCTTCCTCCTCCCCCTCCCCCACCCCTCCAGGGCTCCCCACAGCCCCCTTCCTGCCCTGGTCCAACTCTTGGCTTCAGGAAACCCCCTGGGGAGGCCAGACCCCCAGCTGGGGGGGGGCGGGAAGGGCTGGGTTCCCCTACACCCTTATTCTGGGGAGGACCCCCGAGGGCCTGGGTCTGTCTGTCCATCAGGGGTCGCCCTGGTTCTTGCCTCAGATCCTGAACCCCTGCAGCAAGAGACCAGGAAACACTGTGGTAGCCAGGGTTGCTCAGCTCAGACCAGCACCCCCGGGCCTGACCGTGCCCCGGGGCCAGCCGGCCGGCTCCCATGCCATTTTACAGAGTGAGAGCCAAGGTTTGGGGTCCCGGGGCAGGACTGCCACCCGCCTGATCCCCAGGCCTCCACTGGATGCCAGGCAGGGGCGGAGGGGGCCGCGCTGGGGCTGGGGAGGACCGCAGGGCCGTGGCGACCCCTCCCTGCGGTACGCCGTGATACTAAATCTGACACTGGGCCCGGGAAGCAGGGCTGACGGCACCTGATCCTGGCCCCACCGTCGGCAGTCCTCACGGCACCGGGCGAAGGGGAGAGGAACTGAGATCCTCAGATCCTCATTTCTTCTCCATCCCTGGAGGGCTGTGGGTTCCCGAGCCACAGCCTGGGGCTCAGAGCCCGAGGGGACCCCGGGCTGCTCCCCACCTCGCAGGCGCAGGGTTCATGAGCCGGGCCAGGCGTGTTTCTCTTCCTGGGTCTCCGGGGTTCCCCAGCGGGAGGAAAGTGATTCTCCCAGGGCCCCTAATCCCTCTTCCTCCCTTCCCCTTCTCCCCGTAACCTGGCAGAGTGCCCCTGGCACAGCCAACCCCATGCCAAGCCCCCAGGTTCACGGTGGGGGCCCAAGGCACCCGGTGAACTTCCCTGTGGCGAGTTAAAAAAAAAAAGAAAGAAAAACAGGAACCAATCACCTATACTGTAGTTAATTAACAACCGCTGGGTTTTGATTCACACGGACGGACCGTTCTGAGAAAGGCAGAGATTGTGAAAGCAACCCAGGATTTCTTCATAAAACAGAGGCTGATGGTATCGGCCGCCTTCCGGAAGGAGGCCCACTCTGACCATGGCACGCGCCGGGCGGCCCAGGGGAGCTGGAATCTCGGCCAGGGCGGCCGGCAGTGCCCGCTTCCACACCTGCCCCGTGGGGCCACCTGTGGGGTTGAGTCTGATCCTGCGACCTTGACCTCGTGACCCCGCCAGCCGCCACCCCGCCTTTGGCTTTCCTATCTGTCAAGAGGGACGGTTGGGCTAAGAGATTTCCAAACTTCCCTTTTGTTCTGAAATCCCACGGACGATTCGTCAACCTTCAGGGAGGGACTGACCCACCTGGACCCGAACCTTGTCACTCTGGCTTCCCCTTCCTGGGGGGCGGGGTAGTGTGGCTGGTTCTCAGGATGCCTGCGAAGGTGTGACTCCCAGGAGCGGGGGTCGAGCCCAGGGGGCTCCCTGTTCTGACATCAGCCAGCCTTCAGGGAACCCACCGGCACAGCTGAGTGACTCCATTTCTAGGTTTCAGCCCACAAAGCACCCAAAGTGGAGGCCCACAGAGACGCTGGCATGGCCAAGTTCACGGCAGCGTGAGCCACAGAAGCCAAGGGCGGGAGCAGCCACGTGGTCGCCAATGGGGGAACAGAGAAATACGGACTACGGCCTGCCTGCGGAGGAAGTCTTCAGCCTGTGCCGGCACACGGCCCCACGTGGAAAAACCTAGAAGGCGCGCGCTGTGTGAAATCAGCCCGGTACAGAAGAGCAGCTCCTGGCCGAGCCCGCCCGCGAGTACCTGGGACAGGTGGATCCCTCGAGAGCAGTAACTCAGACCCTTCCAGGGGACTGCAGGGGAGGAAAGCAGTTTGCCGGGACTCTGCGGCTCTGCGAATCTGTGGGGGCGATATTCACGGTGCGAATCCCCACACTCAGAACCACGGAGCTGTGCACAAGACTGCCCAGTGGAACTTGGTGGCTGATGCCTATTTTTATCACAACAAAACCCAAAGTGAGCACAACAGACGCTCACTGGGCTCAACTCCTGCACCGGAAGGAACAGAGAATCTTCTAGACAAAGGAGGGAACAATGTCCCTCCAACCTGACCCGGCCACAGCTCTCTGAGGTTCCCCAATCTCCCAGGACTTCCTGCGGGGACACCCACCTGTCAACCCCAGAGTTAGGGGAGCCCCGGCTCCCTGGCGCGGCCAATCTTCTTCAACAAGGGAACCTTGCCATTCTGCTGACCTTGGAAATAGTTCACCTGGGACCCGTGCAGGCGAGGCCGGGAGGTCGGGTGCAGCTTAGCACCTTCTGATGTCCACCAGACACCCCCCAACGTGGGCACACGCCCAGGGACCCCCATGCGAGAAGCCCTGTTTAAGAGAGAGCATCTCCCCAGGTGCTAGGAGAATAAAATGTGGCTTTTCTTTGGCAGACAGATGGGAAAGACCAAGGATGACACTCGAGAGACAGGAGAGCCGAGAGGCGCCTCTCTCTCTCTCTCTCTCTCTGAGGCTGGGGGGTGGGGGGTGGGGGTGGGGGTGGCGCCTAACTCTTAGAGTGTCCCAGGGACTTTCCCAGGGTGGGACGCTTGGGGCTGCAGGTTCCTTAGAATGCCATATCAAAGGGACCTGTGTCCCTTTGCACACTGCCCAGGTCCCTGGGAGAGCCGGGTCCGGGGTTGGGGGGAGCTTGTGGGGCTCCATGCCAGCAGGGGATGTCTGGCAGCCAAAAAATCGAGTTTCACGAAGAATCTGCCAGGCTGGCGCAAGGCGGGATTCCTACACGGGCGCGTGGCGCCTCAGCTGTCCCCAGCGCCTCCGCTCCCGGTGGTGCCAGGGACGGCAGCCACAGCCTCTAAGGAGACTCCAGCCCGTCTTAGTCTCCGGAGCTCAGTAACCTGGAACAATCCAGGTCGGACATGCAAATTTAGAAGGAGGAGCACACAGGCGCCCCTGCGGCACTCACCTGCCGGGCCGGGCCCCTTCCTGCCGGAGGGTCCCTCGGTGGGGACAGAAGCCTCTCCCAGGACAGACGGCTCTGCCCTCTGTCCACTGCGTGCTGTCTGCACACACACAGATACTTCTCCTTTTCCTCTGTGTGTGTTTCTCTGCTTCTATTCCCCTCCCTGATTTTCAATCTGATTATTTGTGTCAAAATCTGGCGGCGAGGCGGCAGCCAATGGAGAGAGCGCCTGGGCCGGCTGCCTTTGCTTATCAAAACTTTGCAGGGCTCCAGACTCTGGGCCCTCATCCCCAGCGCACGGCGCCCCCAGCGAGCGGCTCCCCCCACCCCCCACCCCCCACCCCCGGAAATCTTGAATGACACCCGGATGAAAAGAATGCAAAGGCCAAATTATTAATTTTTTTAAAACGAATTAATGTTAAAGATGAAACACACAACAACCTGGGCTTTGGATAAAGAAGAAATATTTCAATTTTTTCTCCTTCCTTTTTTTTCTTCCCTCCCTTCCGCCTTCCATTCTCTCTCTCTCTCTCTCTCTCTCTCTCTCTCTCTCTCTCTCTCTCTCTCTCCCCCCCTTTCTCTCCTCTCCGCCCCCCCCCCGCCCCCCATCCTCTCCTCTCTCTCGGTTCCCTGTCAGCTGAGACCCAGGGACCCGGCTGCCCAACAGGTGCACTGCGAGCCCTGCCGTCCAAGGCCGCAGAGGAGGCCACCTCTGGGGCGGGGTGGCGTGGGGAGGGACGAGGCACTGCCGCGGGGGAGGAGGTGAGGCGGTGACTGTGGGGGCCACGAGACCCTAGCCCGAGGAGCCCACGGACAGATTGAGCGCCGGTCCGGGTCGCGCCTGTGCTGCCATCTGCTGGCCGCCGCGGGGAGGGGGCGCACGGGCAGGGACCGCCGGACGTTTGGCGCCCTGGTCCGCCGGCCTCCCGCCGCCTCCTCCCGCGTCGGGGCTGGCGGGTCCGCTGCGGGAGGTTTTGCATGAGACGCGGCTCCGCAGGGCAGCACTGTTAGACTGATTTGCATGCGTTGGCCAGGACGGCAAAGCCGGGTGCTGGAGTCCAAGGTCCACGTGGAGAGAAGGGGGCGTGCCCAGGCGAGGTCTTGCAGCCGCTGGGCCCAGCGGGGCGTTCACCACCGACACCCCGGGGGTCCGCGGGACCCCGGCGCTCCCGGTGAGGCCCTCGCACGGCCGCCGGCCTGCCGCTCCCGCCGACTCCGGCCGTTAGCTTCGGAAAGCTGGTGGAAGACGCCACGGAAAGATGTTTGCTGCGGGGCCGGGGGCGTTTGGAGCCGAAAAGTTCCCGGAAAACGCCTGTTCCCAGGAACTACGCCAAAACCCGCTCATCTCCAAGTTCCCTTGAGTGAGCCCCTCCTGCTCCCTAACTCCCCCCGCAGCCTCTGGGGGTGTCCGGGACGGTCCCGCAGCTCCCGTGGGTTCACTTGAGCCCACGGGGCCGGGCCGGGGCGGGGCGGGCGGTTTGGGCGCCCCCTATCGATAGGAAGCTGGGCTCCGAGGCCTGTGCTCGCTAGGGTCCTCACTTCCCTCTTGAGTGACTGACTCACACGCGAGTCCCAGGCCCGGCTCCCTGGAGCCGCCGGGAATCCCCTGAAGCGACCGCATGGCCAGGCGCCTCCCTTCCAAGCCCGAGCCCCCACCCGGCCAGCGATGACCCACCCTGGGGACCCCCCTCCAGGGCCGCCCACTGAGCCAACGCCACTTCCCTGCGAGGCAGCCCTGCCTCGGGGCATCCTCCTGCAGGTGCACCCATTCCTCGTCCGTGGGGTACTTTCCAGCACCGGCCCCTCCCTCTCCCGCCTCCCTCCTCGTCCCACGTGTTTATTGAGTGCCCACGAGGCGCCAGGCGCTGGGGTTTGTCTTGCTCCATTCCTGCTGCTGTAGCAAAACGCACCATGGGAGAGGCACCACGGGGGCTGGCAGTGGTGGTGCATTTAAACCACTGCGTGCAGCGCCTGCGTCCCAGCCGCCCCTGCTAGTGCGCCCGGGAAAGCAGCGGAGGACGGGGCAAGTGCTTTGCCCCTGCACCCACAGGGGAGACCCAGCTGGAGTTCCAGGCTCCTGACTGCTGGGACTGTTTGCAGAGTAGACCAGCCCTTGGAAGATTCTGTCTGTCCCTCGTGTGTGTGTGTGTGTGTGTGTGTGTGTGGCTTTGCCTTTCAAATGAATCAATAAAATCTTTAGGAGAAAATGAAGAGCAGACATTCACGGTTCAGGGAAGGGGAGTTCAGGGTCAAGTTCGCAGCAGGTGCTGTGTCCCGGGAAGGCTTGCTGTCTGTGTCAAGATGGCGCCTCTGCTGCTGCCTCCTTGCAGTGAGGAAGGGGAAGGGCAGAAAGCACTCAGGCTGTGTCCTTAGCTGGCGGGAGACACGGAAGGAGCAAGGGCCAGCCCCCCCCCCATCAGCACTAACCCACAGAACCCTCCTGGCTTCAGCGCCCCCTACAGCCCCCAGTCTTAACTCCCGCGCTGGGGGGCCTGGGTTCCAATGGGAATTGAGGGCAGGCATGCTTACTCCACAGTGGGTTTCAAACAAGAACAAGACAGGAGCCCTCGTGAGCTCCTGCCTGGTCTGGGAGGTGGGACAGAGCACCCTGAAACTTACAATTCGGGGCGACAAGGGCTGCGACGGAATGCCAAGGGAGTGCGGGGCATGTGGGAGTGGACCAGGAATGGAGAGTCGGTGGAGGAGCTGATCTCCCGGCTGATGCCCAGGCTGACTTAGCATGGAGGGAGGCAGGGCAGGTGTCTAAAAAGAGGAAGAGCGTGTGCAGAGAGCCAGAGGCCAGCGAGCCGACGGCGGCCACGTTCAGTGTGGGCAGAGCTCAGAGACGGCAGATGAAGGGGGGGGGGATCCCAGAGGGGGAAGAGGGAGCCTAAAGGATTCTGCTGCCTGCAACCACTTCTGGATTCTGGCCTTGCTGGGGCCTGGTGAGAGAGACCGGCAGCTCCCCGAAGGCAGGTACGCTCTGGGTCCTCCCTCAGCACGTGGGCTGGGCCGTGGCCAACACAGGCCTGCGGGAATCCCTGGGCAACACGGAGACCCACAGTGGGCAGGGGCCTCACAGAGACGGCTGTGCCAGTGCAGGTGGGCTCAGCAGGCTCTGGGTGGCAGGACGAGGTGGATGTGTCGTGCTGTGTGGCACCGGGGTCCGGCTCTGGCCAGCTCCACCTGCCGTTAGCTGTGAGATAGTGGGCCCCTTTCTGGCCTTGGCCACAGAATATTGCAATCTTAAGCTGAAAACCACTAGTCCCGGGGCGGGGGGGAATACAAGGATGGATTCTGTGTTTCCTGCCCTCTGGGGTCCTCGACTCTCGGCTCTGTCCTACTGCGCATGTGTTGAACGGTGACCACAGTGTGCAGCAGGAAGGGACGTGGGAAGCTTCAACTCAGCCATTGGATTGCGGAGCGTTTCTCAAGTCCCTGCTGCTCCCCAGGGGCAGCCAGTAACCCAGCAGCGCGGACCCCCAAACGCACCTGCTTCCGCGGGGCGGCAATTCGCCGCATCGCCACACGGTGGCGCTCCTGCTCCCCTTTCCTTTAACCTAGATGCTGTGTAAGTTTTAAGAGCAGTAACGAGGGGCCCCTCGCCTTGGGCAGCCACACAGTAAGAGAACTCCCCCAGCCTGCAAACTCGGCCCTTCCAGGCTCCTGCTCAGGTGGGGGTGGGACCCTGGGGTGAGGTTCCAGCTTGCATCCACTCCAGGAAGTGGGTGGCCAGGCTGTCTCAGGGGACAGGATAGGAGAGAGGGGGCTGGGAGAAATTGGGGGAAGCGATTCTAGGGGCACTGGGCCTGGGCATGGCTGGGCTCCAGCTCGGTGGTCCTGCCTGCTGCCTGCCAGCACCTCGGCTGGGCATCCAAGGGTCACTCACGGGTTAAGAAAGAACCGGACAGCAACGGGTCCAGCTGCTGGGTGGGCGGAAGGCCAGGTTCTCACCAGTGTGTGAAGGACTCCAAGGACAAAGGGTGGGATTTATTAGCAAAGCAGAACCACACGCTGCAGAGGGAAGGTGGGCGGCAGAGGTGAGCCCCGAGGGCCTGGGCGCCCCTTTCTGTGGCATCGAGGCTCTGGGGCTGCTGCTTTGGGTGGGACTTTCCAGGAAAGAAAGGAGATGGCCAGGCATTTTGGGACTTCCCGTCTG